TGACAATATTCAATACACAGCTGCTATCACTGACCACATGCAATTTGAAATTAGCACCAATCAGGCTATACACCATAAACAAAATGCATTGATTTATGGTCCAAGTTCGGTCTCTGTCACATTATGTAATTACACAGACAGGCAGATACTTGAACACATGACATGTTATGATGTCTGTTGATTGCAAAATGTTATACACAAAAAATGAGCAAGTCTCTACAAAACCCAACATCTCTATATATACACACACACACACACACACAATCAGCCGTGAGGGCATCTGCAAATGAACCAGCCGTTACACTTGAGTGCACACCCACCCGCCCTGACTGGGTTCGGTATCCCGGCTGCTTCGTTTCTTGGGAAGTAAACCGAAGTACACAATTTTGCACTTTTGATTTGCGATTGTACGCTTATAATTTTGTTTATTTGTTTTTTCATAACTAGCAATGTATATTATATGTCATGAATAAGTGATAATTGTGTTTTAATTATGTTTGATTTTTTGGTTGCATGTGACCTTTAACTAAATTATATACTTAGGTTTAAAATACACAATATTTACATTCTGCTACATGTGGAAAAACTAAAGCAGGTTTACAAGTCAAAGGTACAGCCTCCCGACGCTTCTCACTTGAAAGTAGTACCCCTCGCATTGTTATTATGAGGTAGCATGATGTATACTGTATTTCCTTCTGCTTATTACAGGCCTGGCTCTTTTGCCCTTACTGAGTCTTATTACTGTAATGTGTTAATGAGCTGCTTTACCCCCAGTGCTAATATTAGAGGCCCGGCACTTATTAGAGGAAATATGGTACTACAATACTAAAGGCAAGACTGGGAGATGTGGAAATGGAGGATGAAATGTCACAGTATCAGGGGCAGATACATTCATGGAAAAGCATTTGCTGGATAGAATTTTTCTAAACAATACAGCACAAGCAGTTAGAGTGTCTGAACCGCACTCTTTGGACTACTTGAGCCTCACTCATGATTAATACTGGAAGCCTATCAGTATCAACTTTCTGTCTTGTTGCTAGAGAATCATCAATACAGTGTTTCCGCTGACTTCATTATTTATCGGACACTGTGTCAGGCGACCTAAAATTTTACCGGTCATGAATAAAATTTGTCGGTCACATCTTATTGCCATACTGTAAGTACTCATTTTAAAGTTATTTTTAGCCTGGGTATTTCCGAAACATAAGAATTTTTGCGACCAGGAAAGCACAGCCAAACTGTCATTTCGCTTACCCATGATTTTTTTATTTTAATACATGATTATGTACCGGACACAGTGTCCGGCTGGGTTTCAATTTACCGGTCCCCAGCAAATTTTACCGGTGATTTTCAGGTATATACCGGAGATCGGAAACACTGTCAATAACCATTGCTCCTTCAGGTTACATGCCATATAGCTGGAATATTGCTGAGGGCGGCATAAAACTCAACTCACTCAGGTTACATGTATTCCGTCGTACCTGCTCTAGTAGCTACCTTTGGAACCATGGTTGATTATCCCTACCATTTATAAGGACAAGGACATCTTGTGCCATATTGCAGGTTGGTGAAGCCGATGTCCGCCATAATGTCAAGTTTTTAATAAAAACAGGATTCTCCTCCTATGCTAGGTTTGTGTCTTGCGTTTGAAATTGGAGCCATGACTACACACCTACATGGACATGCAGACATTGGTGTGTGTATTAAAATGGACTTTGTCTGTCCATGCATCCGTGCACATTCATCTGTTCTGGAGCAGAACTTTAAAACCGTTCAAAATAGTTAAATATTTCTTCACCAGACTTGGCACATAGATAGATCTGGTGATTTTCTGGTGCCATTTGGAAGTTTTGGATTTCTGAATAAAATTTTTATCCCCCTCAACACAAATAATTATACATCCACGCTCGTATAGATTAGACATAATTGAACTTACTAATTTAAGGCTTACTGAATGGTAACTAGTTATTTTCCATAATCTAAAGTTGATAATATTACCTAATCGAATATAACTTGATAAGTCGTGCCTTTGCATCGAATATATATACATGCCCCGTGTTATTACAACAATGAAATCTTTTACTACGTTTGTTACAAAACACAGTAAGTTGGCAATTCAAAAGATTCTTAGACATAGCCAGAAGTGAGTGAGTGAGTTTTTACATGTAAACCATACAAAGGTATTTCAAGCATTTTTGTTCAAGCTGTTGAAAGTTTCATGTTGATTTGAATTGTCCGTTTTCTATGCAATTTACATGAGCATTGTGTAAAACATTTGTATTTGATCTCTGTAATTATCAAATCCGGTGTAATTATCATGTGTATCAATGAACACAGTCTCTATTGATCCATCGTCAATAAAAGCTGGATAGTATATCAGTAACGGTATCTAGATACTTGCGTATGATCGTTCAATCAGGTTACAGTAATGAGATAATCAAACACCTCTTTCGACCTTGAAATAACAGCCTCCGGTAGAATGCATGTGTAGTTACACCCGTTGTTGAAAGGTTTGTCCTGTGACAAGTGTAAAATAAACAGATGCGATGTTATATCATTGGACTACCTGCTTGATGGAGTCACGCCCCACTTTCTAATGTTTATGCATACAAGCACATCTGTAATCTTATTAACCTCGTTTACATTCAGTACAAATATAGGCACACCCATCTTCATAAATATATTTGAGGGGGATTAAAATGTAAGTTTATACATTATAATAATTCAGTATCGTGTAACTTTTTGAATTCTATAATACGTGTACTTTAATTTGGAAATTCATTCGTCGCAAGTTCTATTGGGGAAATTTGATCACGCCCTATCACGTGATTCTTTTTTTTAATGTTTATACAAGGAATCTGTATTATACAATTTGTATATGTATGTTCGTATGATAATGTATTTTTTTGCATTAAATCTAGATGAAACAAAATTATGAATGTGCTCTATGTTAGTCACAGACTAGTGTAATAGTACTTTCCTTGAAATATTCAGTTTACTCTAGAAATGTATCGGCAAAAACGCTAATATCGTAGAAAGATTATAAAGCATGTAAGTAAATTACAGTAAATTTGTAAAATTAAACCTCACACAATGATATAAGAGAAAGAATTTCTTTATGTATGTCTCATCTCTTACATACAAAGAAGGCATACATATTTTGATAAAATATAAATGTACAAGCCTCCAAAAGTCTACAAGAGAAAATTGCAATAAAATTACATAAAAGTTGCAATGTATGATATGTATTCACACATGCTTTCTTTTAACTTGTATCTTTACAACACAATTAAACAATCAGAGCTTGTTTGTACGACTAGACAGTTTCCTGTCATCCCCGAAAACTGCCAGGGAAATCAGGTGTGAATAGCACTAATTAGCTTCGCAACAGCGAGCAGGGCAATCAGCGAGGGGTTCCAGGTGTTGAGTAGTGAAGTGGCTCTCTGGCTTAATGAATTAACAAACTATCATCACTTTGTTTTGATTTTCTGTGTGGAGTTTTACGAGGGTAAGGTAACTGTAGTACTGTTGTAGGAACAGCCTCAAGGTCGCGAAGTCTATGAATTGTTTACATGTATATGTTTTCGTTAGTAGAGTGGAATAATGGTACGATGTAGAAATATTGTATGCCGTTATAAACTGCACTCCAGACATGGGAATAAATTGTAATATTGCATATAGCATGACTAGTAACCTAGTTTGAATTATGCATACCTTACAATGGAACAAGAGAGTACGATGTAGAAATATAGTATGTCATTATAAACTGCACTCAAATGTCACTGAGTTAAAACATATTTTGTCCCAGTCATTTATGCTGAGAATATTTGAACATCAGTGCTGACAGTGACATTTGTTAAATGGCTGGCTTTTTTGACATTTTCAAGGGATGGTGGGTAGCTTAGTGGTTAAAGTGTTTGCTCATCACGCCAATGACCTGGACTTGGTTCCCTACATAGGTATAATGTATGAAACGCATTTCTGGTGTCCCCCAGTAATTTTGCTGGAACATTGCTAAAAGCAATGTAAAACCATACTCACTCACTTGACATTTAAAACTGCCGACTGCATATTATTATCCCCACAACACGTTTTGCGGGGGGTATTAAAATGGACACCGTCCGTCCGTCCATGCGTCAGTGCACATGTCTTTTCCGGAGCAGAACTCTAAAATCGTTCAATATTTCTTCACCAAACTTGACACATGGATAGATCTGGTGGTGTACTGGTGCCTTTGGTAGTTTGGGAATTCTTAATAAAACATGTTTGGCGTTTCCATGGCAACAAGCTCGACAAGTTTGACTTAGCCTGAAATTGGTGGTAGTACACTTTTCCGGAGCTGAACTCTAAAACCGTTCAATATTTCTTTACCAAACTTGGCACATAGATTGGTCTGGTGGTGTACTGGTGCCTTTTGGTAGTTTTGGAATTCTGAATAAAATACTTTTGGCATTTCCATGGCAACAAGTTTGACTAAAACAGAAATTAGTGGTAGTGCACTTTTCCGGAGCAAAACTCTAAATCCGTTCAATGTTTCTTCACCAAACTTGGCACATACATGGAACTGGTGCCTTTTGGTAGTTTTGGATATCTGAATAAAATAATTTTGGCATTTCCATGGCAACAAGTTTGACATTAACTCAAAATTGGTGACAGTGCTCCTTTCTGGAGCAGAACTTTAAAAACCTTTCAATACTCTCCTTCCACTTTTCTATATACACACCTAAATATTTGACATAATCATAACTTGTAGACATAATCATGAAGAGAGAGTATTTTGCCATTGCGGGGGATATTGATGACTTTGTCTTCTTCTTATTATTATTATAGGATATTTATATTACGCACATATCCACGCACTAGTGCATGCTTAAGGCGCTGGTATTTTGTCTCTAAGTGAGCTACAGTGCCATGGAAGTTCTATTATGTTTGTACATATTCTTGCCTTGATAATCATAGTTAACTGATGAGTCCTTCTTTCTTTCCCTTTTTCTTTCAAGGAAGCCCAAAGATTACAATGGCATCTGCTGGTAATGGAAGTGATGATGTAAATAACCTGACAGATGGATTAAGTGGCATGGAACTTAAAACTCAAAAACCAATACAGGAAAGGCAACAGTCACATTCACTTCCAGCTGATCCAGGTGCAAAATCACAAGTGGGAAGAACAAGTCAAAACAGAGTCAATGTTTTTGATGTAGAGGAAGAATCACCTCATGATGACAGGCCACAAACAGTGGACAAACCGTGTTCTGAAGACAGCCATAAGACTGATAAGTTCTCTCACAAAACACCTGAGGCTGCTGAAGATTCAGGTTCGGTGCAACATAAAGCCAGCATTATGGACAGTGTGGAGGATCGCACATTGGACGATGTAAAACACCTGCCTCTCATTGACTCAGACACAGGTATGAACTGATAATGCTGTTCAAGTAGTTTTTATTGTAATTAGCATTTTTTATTTTGTTTTTTCTTATTATTTCCTTATAATGTTAATAGATTTAGCTTTAGAGAGAGTCACGTGTCAGTACACCTGACGGAGTACATGCAGGTCAGTCAAGGCGAGGCGAGGAGAGACCACACAGGAACTGCCCCTTAGGGGACCACACTTGTCCTGGACACTATACAAAAATATATATTGGATTTTCTAATTCAACACACAACGAGTTTTACACACTCGGGATGACTACACTTTACAGAGTGATTACAGCATTACATTTCACTCAGAATAACAAACGTTATTCAACACACAGACAAGTGATTATGCTAATAATCATCTGAATACATCATTGTTACAACAATGCAATACATACTTTTCCGACTGCCAAATATACAACAAATTCACTGGCAATTCAATAGTGAGATTCACACATAAATGCTACTGCATTTGATAATTCACATTATTACCCATACGGGTGAGGAGATCCCGTGTAATATCTTTTTGATATCTGCACAGTGTGCAATTTAGTAATTCTCAAAGTAGATTGGTCGATGGTATATTTGTAGATTTTCATTGGATGTTGGAACTACTTTCACACCACTACATTCATTTATAATATTTCATCCATTCATTGATGAATTGACCGTGCTGTAATCACACTGATTCGAGATTTTAAAAAAGAACACAAAATCCTACAAGATTTTGATGTTCATGCTTTTTTTATGCACCATTTCATATTTCATTAACAATATAGCGTCGTTTACTTAGCAACATGTTTAGTAATAAAAAATGGTCTAATTTTGTAAGCCAGCATGGCTACCCAGTTAACTGCAATCAATGTCAATGACCGGGTCAAGGCGGACAGATACATTATTGGACATGTAACGATAATAATACAACCTCTAATTATCCTCCGCAACGCGTTTTACGGGGGGGTATTAAAATGGACTCCGTCCGTGCGTGCGTCCGTCTGTCCGTGCACTTTTGTCTTTTCCGGAGCAGAACTCTAAAACTGTTCACTATTTCTTCACCAAACTTGGCACATAGATAGATCTGGTGGTGTACTGGTGCCTTTTGGTAGTTTTGGAATTCTGAATACAATATTTTTGGCGTTTCCATGGCAACAATTTCGACTTAGCCTGAAATTAGTGGTAGTGCTCTTCTCTGGAGCAGAACTTTCAAAACCTTCCAATACTCTCCTTCCACTTTTCTATATACACACCTAAATATTTGACATAATCATAACTCGTAGACATAATCATGAAGAGTATTTTGCCATTGCGGGGGATATTGATGACTTTGTCTTCTTGTTACACCGAATTTGATAATTACAGAGATCAAATACAAATGTTTTACATAATGCTCATGTAAAAAACTGACAATTCAATTCAACATGAAACTTTCAACAGCTTGAACAAAAATACTTGAAATACTTTTGTATGGTTTACATGTAATAACTTATATTACTTGTGTCTATGTCTAAGAAGGTTTTGAATTACCAACTAACTGTGTTTTGTGACAAACGTAGTAAAAGATTTCATTGTTGTAATAACACTGACATGTATTATATTCGATGCAAAGGCGCGACTTATCACTTTATATTCGATTAGGTATTATGTTATACGATATTTCTATAGCGCACATATCCAGACAACTAGTGCTGACTCAAGGCGCTGGTAACATTATCAACTTTAGAGTATGGAAAATAACTAGTTACAATTCAGTATGCTTTAAATTAGTAACTTAAATTATGTCTTATCTAATTGAGCTTGGATGTATGATTATTTGTGTTTATACATTATGTGACCCGTGAAGATCCGGGGTAGAATAGGTCTTCAGCAACCCATGTGCTTGCCATAAAAAGCGACTATCTTGTCGTAAGAGGCGACTAACGGGATCGGGTGGTCAGTTTTTGACTTGGTTGACACATGTCATCGGTTCCCAATTGCGCAGATCGATGCTCATGCTGTTGATCACTGGATTGTCTGGTCCAGACTCGATTATTTACAGACCGCCGCCATATAGCTGGAATATTGCTGAGTGCGGCGTAAAACTAAACTCACTCACTCACTCACTTATACATTATGTTTCATGATATGAAACATGACAACGTAATAATAACTAAAAAGTAAATTCTAACTATTCTATTGTGTTTGAATTCTTTGTATGTCTTTGAAATTTCGTATATTGTTTCCTATTTATTAGGAAGTTGAAGAAAATATAATCTTCAGTAACCTCGAAACCATTACATCTAATTCAATCAATGTGCGTAAGAAGTATTTTATTATCCATTCCCAATGAAGAGTACCAGACACTTACCTCTGTAAAAACATCATAATCACCTTTCTCGTCGACATGTGTTCATTTGCCAAACACTATATAAGCCTATGATAATGATTAGCAATTGCTATCAAAACACTTTAAATACTTCTTCTGATTGACATTAAAGGTAGCATCTCTCGTAAGAAAAGCTAATATATTTGCTCAGTACTACTAAATTGGTTGAAATAATATGTACAGTGCGATTTTTTAAAGTATGACACACATGTGCGTCTCTCGCTGAATAAGAGGTGCTTTCTGTTGACGGATATATGTGGCTCTTGCTGTGAGAAACTGCCAATTACCTGCCCAATAAACACGTCACTCGCTGTGAGGAGCTGATTAATTTGCCCCATATATGTGTCTCTCGGCCTTAATGAGTTAATATAGACAACACCCACCTCCATAATGGTACAGCTCTAATTAGATTGATGAGTAGAGTGTGCCCGTAGTTAATCTGTTCATGTTGTACTACCCCGTTGCCGAAATACCTTAGTTGTGTGTGCGACGCTAAATAAAGCAAATAACTAACTACTAACCTTTATATCTGCATGGCTGGGTTACGCAAAGTCGAAAATATCATATTGCAGAGAGGCACTCAACAAATACTTAATAAATTTTGTTATATGCAGTAATGTAAATGAAATGCACCTACAAATTCCTTTAAATGACACCAAGACCATTGCCCGAGTCACACACTCATATTGAACATAATTTTTTAGGGATATAGTCTGGGCTGGAGGGGTATACTTTGGCCTGGTCCAGAATATACCCCTGGGGTATAAACTGGACTAGCCTATAGTTTACCCTGGGGTATAATCTGGTGGGGGGGTATTCTGGGCTGCTACACCAGAAACGATATCAAGGGAGTCAGCATCTTACCAAAGTCCCCACTGACCAGAGAGTGTTATAAATGACTTACTGCAAGATGATTTTTTGACCCCCGATTGAAAACAAAACTTTTGACAGGTTTGTTCCTGTTTTTGAGCATGACATTGAAAACTCTAGGGCTGCGAACAAAAAAGGTAGTCAAAACGGACGCAGACTGAATTTAGTGTTATCATTCCTCACGGACAAGGACACTGACAGGAGCCAAAACTAGGTCACTGTCCGTTTCAGTAAAATGTTGACAAACGTTCATAATTGGGTGTCGTCTCCTTGAATAAAAGGTTCACCATTCCTGTGTTTTATTGTTTCCGTGCAGATTTTCACTGTTTTATAAGTTAACGTTATATTGATAGGTTTTTGCTGTTTTGTATCCAACAAGTCACCCACCTTCTGGGTAGGCTAGATCGACACAATTATAACGTAAACATTCCCTCTGGATTATGGTAGCCTTTATTCCTGTGGTTACAGAAAATGAAATGAAAATGAAAACACTAAGTCATAGCTTTTGCTAGCGGTATGCGTAATCTGTATATTGAATTATCTCCCCTGATCCTGACGACACGGCATTGTTGTTTGAAAAGCCTTCATAATTTTTCTGTGTGGTCTACACTACAGACGTATAGAAGTGAAGTGAAAAAATTTTCATCTACAACTCTACTTTCTTCATCAAATCTACAGAAAATTGGTCATTTTTGCATATCATTTATGGCTGAAAAAAAGATCTACATGTTTAGAACTTCCTGCCATTTTCCCAATAGAAGCAACATGTCTAAAAATAAGTGTATTCAATGCCAGAAATTCATTCAAACCAAATAAAAGTAATTCGGGTTCTCCCTCACCCTCCATTATATCAGAACCTAAGTCCTGACCTAGGTTGAAATCAAAATCTTCCTTAAGTCAGCTTGATTTATTAGCTATATCGGAGTTGCTAACCTCCCTTAAGTCTGACATCCAGGCGCCAATGGATAAGTCCATGCGGGACATGGAAATATGTAACGAGTTAAAATTAACAAGTTGCACAAACAAATTGGGGAACATTACTCCAGCAAGTCGGCAGAGAATAGCCGCAATGATTTGACTGATGGCACGAGCCGGGAGTCAAAGTCATTCCCTACCCATCTTAGTGTTACTCTGACCGGCAGAGCTGGTCATCATACCTTGACGGACGTAGGAGACCAGTCCCCCCATGGGGAGTAGCTCAGGGCTTCAGGCGACGGGGATGGTGTTGGCAGTGCCGACACCGGGATTGGCTTGTCTGTGGCTAAGGCTACACATGCCATGACCATGGTCCCCGGGAGCAAGCCGTGCGTGACGGCTCCCAGTCGCCTACACCCTGCCACTTCACCCCACGGAGGGCTGGGCCACAGGATACGCACAGGATTGGCACATTAACCCGTGCACGGGAATCCCAGCCCAGCTCGTGCCATATGTCTGGGTCAGGGACTATGGATACCGTTTTACTGGCTCAACAACCCGAGACCCACATGCCTAGCGGTTCTGGAGACATGCTTTTATTGACACGGAAAACCCACCGATTATACCATTAGTATCTGTTCTATCGGACCCTTCTCTCAGCCAGAGTTTACCATGAGGGAGGGGTTGTTAACGGTCCACCCTATGGATATCTCAGGGGAGGACTTTACTCCATGATGGTCATTAAACGAGAGGAAGCTTGAGCTCTTACATGGACTTTACCCTAGTACCCTGACACCTCTCTCTGAGGTTCATGAAGTGGACATCCCTGTGGAGCTGGGATTATCA